GGTGGTGTTCTTTCTCGGCCCCCGGGGAGGAAGGTCCTGGGGGGGAAGGGCCGTGCCAGCGACACTCATCATCCCGCTCAGCCCCACAAGGGACCCCCGGCTGGACCGGGGTCTCTTCCCGCTCGGTTTTGTCGGCCTCTGGCTCAGGGAGGCCCGACATCCCCCCACCCCCGCCACCCCTTAGCTTTAATACTTACAGCACTGTACAGAGGAACCAATTAAAATAAAAATCAAAGTTTTAGGATGAAATAATTTTAAAGTTTAAATAAAACACATCTCCATAACAAAGAGAATAATAATTAAATTATTGGTGCTGAAATCTGTAGCCATAGAAAATTGTTTACTTGTTTTTGAGAAAGAAACATTCCCTAAGGATGAACCAACATATAATTTTGAGGTCACTGTACAGAATTTTGAGTATCAAATCCCAAATTCGGGAGGCTGAATTTAGCCAGTAATTACTGGAAGGCATGATTAAAGGAAATCTTGGAACAAACATAATCCTCATTTTTTAGTAGGCAGAAAACTAATATTAAAAAAAAAAAGTTCAAGAATCAGCAATGAAGTGAACCAAAACAAAATGGAAACCTATAATGAAATCCTAAGCAACTCTCAAGGCGCTTCCTTAATTGATGACTTTGCCTAACGAGTAAGAGAACTTGCTAGAGATAAGTCAGCTGAATAAAAAAAAAAAAAGGGGGATAGGCATTTGTGATGATTCTGAATAGCTGTCCCTACCACTGTTAAATTATCAGTGGAAGAAATACGAAAGAATACCGCAGGCTTATTTACTTACTATTTTTAAAGGAGATCAAGTAAAATTATATAAAATAGTGGCTACTATAATTGTTCTAAAGTATACAAGTGAATAAAGTAATTGAAGTATAAAGATTACCTTGCTTTTGGTCAGTGGGTAAGCCAGAACCATAATCCTGGTTTTCTTGCTGTTTTCAGGGCTGTTAGCCCAGTAGATCTCAAAAATAGCTGAAAAACATCTTAAAAAATGCAGATTCCCTTGCCCCACCTCAGACCTAATGAGCCAGAATATCTATAGATCGGTCCTGGGGAATCTGTATTTTTAGGAAGCTTCTCAGGTCATTTTGATGTACACTGCAGATCAGTCTTGGGTAACAATGGAGCTAGACTGCATTGTCTATTATGGAAAGACACAAAAGTAGTCTGATGTGAGGAATAATTTCACATCACTGTTAAAATTGCCAAGGTAGTTCAAAACACATCATGATATTTAAAAAGGGCATCCCTTTAAGTACATCTATGTTTAGAACATTAAGCTGCTGAAAGTTAACATACACTAGCACTCATGTTCATCCTTACTATTATGAAGGGTAATCCCTAAAAACCAGGAGCTTTTTGTTTTGTATTACTTTTGTTTTGTTTTGCTTTTGAGATACCTTGTGGTTTGAGTTGGGAGCCACAGATCCTGAACCTGGTCTGAAGTAAGCTTCAGCAACAATAGAGCAGAGATACCACCATTGTCCTGATGATTTTCCAGAGCAGTGTAGAAGAATAAGATTGGGAGAAAAGAGAATCTTCTGTAAGCTGTCTGGCTGCTTTTTAGGAGGGAGTTAAGAGGAGGGGTTCTGAGAACACATGATCATTCTGGCTTTCTCAATCTGGGGACTGTGAAAGGAAAGTATTCACATGAAACAAAAGGGAAGGCAAGTTTTAATTATTAGGAGCCAGAAACACGGTTGTGCCCAGATATTATAATAGCTCCTTGTAGTTTATAGGTAGCCAACCATATGTTTTGTTTAATTTTACAGTCACTTAATGAAAAACAATATTTTCTCAAAGGTACTTCTCTTAACTTTCATGCTAGTAAGGGGTTTTGGAGCCAATCACTAATTAACCATAGTACCAATTAGGAAGAAGAGATCAATACTTCAGTGAGAAGCCTTTGACAAGTACCTTTTGAGGGCACAGTGAATTCAATCAGATATGGTAGCCCTAATTTTTTACTCAACTTCTTTTTGGCCAAATATAAAACCTCACATTACTGCTTTTGAGCCAGGGACAACTGCCCATCCCCAGATCACACATGACCTGCTAAGGGTTTCCTCTGACTCCAGGGAAGCTCTGCCCATCCCCAGATCACACATGACCTGCTAAGGGTTTCCTCTGACTCCAGGGAAGCTCTGCCCATCCCCAGATCACACATGACCTGCTAAGTGTTTCCTCTGACTCCAGGGAAGCTCTGCCCATCCCCAGATCACACATGACCTGCTAAGGGTTTCCTCTGACTCCAGGGAAGCTCTGCCCATCCCCAGATCACACATGACCTGCTAAGGGTTTCCTCTGACTCCAGGGAAGCTCTGCCTGATCTGATGGCCCTTGGAGCTGAACAGGCCCTCCTGAGAATCAGGTTAACAGTAGAGGAGGAGGGACAGAAAAAGGACTGACTCAGAAGTGGAAGTAACCTGAGCCCCTTTCACCCCAAATATAAAAATATTCTTTTTCATTAAGTGAAAATAGAAGTTTACAAACAAATATGTTGAATATGATCTTTACATTTTAAAAAATGGAGAGGACGCATGTTGAGATGTTAACACAGTGATTATTATTTCTGGATAAGGGAAGTACAGAAGATTTCTTCCTTGTGCTTTAATATCATAATTTTTCCATTGGAAAAATGGAGAATTTGTTTTCTTTATGGATTTCTATGGTTTATAATTATTTATAAGGAACATGTGTTAGTTTTATAATTAAGGAAAAAAACCCTTCATTTTTTAATATAAAGAGCATGTTTATAAACTGGAAAAGATCCATGGAAGTCTTACAAAGATGATGAAAGCCTGGATGCAAGAAGAAACAGGAGCAGAGTCTGCAAAAACCAGCATTTACTCTGGCAAAGGGAACTCTTAGGCCAAAAGAATCTTCAAATTCTTGAAGGGCTGCTAACATGGGGATGATGAATTATTATTTTACATAGCACCAGAAGGAAGAACCAGAATCGGCAGGTAGAAATCACAAGAAGAAAAAATATTCTCATTAGAAAGAAAATTATCTAATAATCAGGAGGATTCAACAATGGAATGGATTTGTATGGTAGTGATGTCCCATTTTGGAAGTGTTTAAACTGAGGTTAAGTGACTTCCTGTCTGATTTCCTAAAGAAGAATTCTTAAATGAGAGATTTGACTAAGTGAAATTAAAAAAACACAAAACAACCACATAAGCTATTTTTCACTGCCAATGTGTTTTGTGATTTTTTTTCTCAAAATGATTCCAGTAAATACAATACAGAAAAAACTGGCACTAAGATCTTGGCAAATTACTTGTCTGCACCTATTATTTCATATGTAAAATGGGGATAATAATTATTTATCTCATAAGCTTGTCATGAGGATTTAAAAAATTCCTATATATAAAGCAATTGGTATAGTTATTAAAATTGCATCCAACTCCACATGTTAGATGCAATTTTAATCATAATGTATAATTAATGTGTTACAGGAAATTTGGTAAGGCAAAAATTTAGACGGCAACCATAAGCAACAGATTCTTGGAGTATTTCTGAGCAAATGGTATTAAGGGATGATAGGGAACAATCACAATACTCTTTATCAAGTAAAAAAATCTTTGATTGAAACATTAATTTCCGAATGAAGGCACTGACCATTCGGAGTTTTAGAATGTAGTAGATGAATTTGATGTCTGCCTTTTTGTAGTACACAGCAACTTACTTCTCATTGAATTCTTAAAAGATGTACACACTTCCCATTTAGTTAATTGTCATATTTTGCCTTCCCCATGATGTGAGCCAGAATGATAAATGTTTTTTCTCACATACAAAAACACATTAATGTATTAAAACCCGTTTTAGTTTTTGTCTTACCTGTCCCCTGAGGCAGTTGGACGAGTAGCTGTTTGTAGTGGAGTGTGCAATTCGTTAGAGTAAAAGGTGTTTGACAGAATGTCAGCTCCTTCAAGCTCCCTGCAACAGTAGGGCCTGCCGTGAATTACCTCCATGCTTCTTGGCTAACAAGGCACAGTCTGCAAAAGAAAAGGACACATTCGTTTGGGGGGTCGACCGACTTGGCCAGTATCACACCGACCCTCCTTCAGCGCAAGCAGAAAGCACGTTTCCTGCTTTTAAATTGTTCAACCCAGCCTGCACAGAAATCAGGGCTTCCTTCCTCATCGAAAGCCCGTCTGTGGATTCTCTAATGTCAAATCAGTAATAAATAGCAAATGAATTAAGTTCTTTGAAAATGAATTTCAACTGAAACAAATCCACTAAGTGGAAGATGTTTTCAGAGTGTGAACACTACGTGGTCGACACAAGTTCGCTACTTTGCGATCATGGACAGAAATTCAATTTTTGACTCAAATTAAATCATAACTATTCAAGAAAACTTAGCTGATTTTTACCCCCGTGGTCTTTCTAAAAGTCAAGGAGACTCGTCATCCAACAGAATCAAGGGCAGTTCTCCTAAGGGCGTCGGGGATTCCGGACAAGAATCCCTTTGCAGAGAGGTGGAGACTCGGGGTACAGCGATTCCCGACTGCGCAGGAATCCACCCCACCCTCGGACTCAGGGGGAAAGCTAGGAGGCCCCGTGGCTAGGACCGCAGGACCGCGAGCTCAGGTCGAGCGTCCCGGGCTATCCTCGCCCTGCGAACGGTGCCTCCGGGGTTCGACGCACCTGGGACATCAGCTTGGGAGCGCCACGGAGGCGCGCCGCCCCTTCCACTCCCGCGGGGCGTGGAATTTCGCCGTGGTCCGCACCCGCGGCCCCGGGGAGCTTGTGGGCAGGTGCGGGTGAAGCAGGGAGAGGGAGCGCCGGCAGGCCGGGGTGGGGTCGAGGGCGCCTGTGACGGTGACTGTGACCATGGCACTAGGTAATGCATCCTCGAGGGGCGGTGGGCTTCCGGGTGGCGGGCGGGGAGCGGCGGGTGGCTCCTAGAGATCCCGGAGGAGGCCAGCCGAGGAGCTCCGGACTGGCAAAAATTAGAAGCGGCACCGGAAGTGAGGAGAAAGTCCGCGACGCCCCGCAGGGAGGAAGTTATACGAGGAGGCCAGCCGAGGAGCTCCGGACTGGCAAAAATTAGAAGCGGCACCGGAAGTGAGGAGAAAGTCCGCGACACTCCGCAGGGAGTGAAACGGGCTCTTCCGCCACTCGGCGCCTGGCCCCGCCCTCCAGCAGCTGGCCCCGCCCCTGAAGGGCCCCGCCCCTTCCCCAAGCGCCCTCTGGTGGCGGCTGGGGCGGCATCATTTTCTCCTAAGGAGCTGACGGGTCTAACCGGGTCCCTGAGAACTAGGGGAGGGAAGAAGGGAGGATCATGGTGAGGCGGGAGAGTCCGACCTGTCCTCCCCAACGCCTTACCTCGCGGGAATGGGGGATAGTGCGGCCAGATCAAGGTTGGGGTCCAAAGGATCTTGCAAGCGAAGCCCACAGATAACGCCCTGTCAGAGCCTCTGCACTTCCCTGGTGGATACGAACGTGGCAAACGGGCCAGACGGCCTGCAGATGCAGTCCTTTACCTGTCCCTAAGGACTTAGCCCTACCTCGATTACCTCAGTTCCCCCCGCCCAAAACGAATGAGAACTACATTTCTGCACCTAGAGGGTCATGTGTTTTGGTGATGGCTGAGAATAGGGTCTTCTTCTCCCCCCGCCCCCCCACCCCCCAAGAAACAGGATGTGAGAAGGTTATTTATTGATTGATTGATTGATTTTTTGTCCTTTTTGGAGACCGGCCACACCGCGCTCAGCCAGTGAGCGCACCGGTCATCCCTATATAGGATCCGAACCCGCGGCGGGAGCGCTGTTGCGCTCACAGCGCTGCACTCTCCCGAGTTTGCCACGGGCTTGGCCCTAGAAGGTTATGTTTTGGAAGTGAGAGATTGGAACTGAGCCTGCAGAGGAAAGTGGGAGCGAGAGCCGCCGGCTCTGAGAAGGGCGGAGTCATGGTGCCTTTGCCTTCTCTGCCTACAACTTTTTATTAACCACCCAGTTGGTATTCATTTTGTGCTGTGCCTTCCAGGTATGTTAGCTGACGAGGGAGGGAAAAGGTGCACTGGAGTAGACAAAGTGGTGATTTTGTAGTCTTGGTCTATTTCGTAGTCCGGGCACCTCTCCCAACCTGTCGTAATTGCCATCCACTAAACCTGGAAGAGTAGATCCTGCTGGAGACAGGGTTGTGAATGAGATGAAATTGGCTTTTATCTTTGACACCGTTGACATCCATCTTTTTTTCAGTTTCTGGTAGATATTCATCCTAATCTTTTGCCCCTTTTGCTGCTTCTGTGTTCGGGATCTCCCATTGAATTCCTTGTCAGCCCAGCCCATTTCATGCCCCCAGCCTTCGAGTACTTTCCATACCTCACCTTTCCACATGCTCGACCTTAGTTCCATTTTCTCATGGCTTGTTCCTTGCTGGGAGGTAATATTAGATTTAATCAGAGGCATCTGGTGAAGATGCACCACCAGCCATGTGTGACATGGATAGTGGTCACACAGGGGAAGTTATGGCAACCCCAGATTGAATGACGAGGATATGTGGTGATAGCACCCAGGTTCTAGTAGGTTTGAACATTTGTTTTAGGTAAAATGAGTGTAAAGGGTGAGAAGATGTAATTATTTTTATCCTTGTCATTTTTGAAATAAAACTTATAGGCAAGAAAAATTATAACACCTTTGTAAAACAATTGTTCTCTTTGGAAATGCTTTTCCATGTGAAAGTTCTCAGGGATATCAGGATTGGGTCTACATTTTTGAAATAAAACTTATAGGCAAGAAAAATTATAACACCTTTGTAAAACAATTGTTCTTTTTGGAAATGCTTTTCCATGTGAAAGTTCTCAGGGATATCAGGATTGGGTCTATTGAACCAACACTGTTTATTCTGAGCTTTCGTGATTTAACCACTCCTCCTCAGCCAGCAGGTGATACATATGTGACCCAACGACACAAAGCAGCCTCCCACCCAGGGATGCTCAAGGTGACAGACTTCTTACAGGTATTACGGCCAGCGGGATCGGTAGCCTCAGACTGTCGTCTTTCTGCTTTTGACATGATCTCTTTTTACCACCTCATTTCGATCCTTCAAGCAAGGAAGATGAAATTTGGGAATGAAATGCATAGAATACTGTGTCTGGTTGACAAAAGTTACAAATCTCAGCTAGAACTTGCATCTTCACATAAAGAGTATGCAGGCGGTATATCATAATGTAAAGCATGAATTATAGTCTCTAAACTTCCTTTTAAATCTGTTATAGAGACATCTAACAAAGTGGTATTTGGAAATGAATTAAATAAGTTTTTAAGGGACTGAGTACAATATGAATATTTTTTAAATGAAAACATTTGGGGCTTGAGACCTTGCCTGAAGATGTGTCAGGAGCCGTCTTTTCAGTAGTAACTTTAAAATATGCATTTTTAACAATGGAAAAACTTAAAACCTCATTGGTTTCAGCATGTACATCTTCTTACTAGGATGACAATTTAAAAAATATATATATAAATATATATTTTTGCCTTGAGTAGCTAAGGAAGTATGTGGTCATTTAGAAATGAACACTGAAATGACACAGATGCATACATTTATAAAATGTGCTTATTTGGAAAATAGTATCTACTTGCCTAGGATGTGTCAGGGATTGATTGTCCCAGAACCTACAGACTATGGGGACGTGAAGCAGTGAACAATTGTAATCCAGTGAGGTAAGTGCTCAACTGGCACTTGATTTAGGAGCCCATATGTACCTCACCAAGACTCTTTCCATTGTGACAGGAGAGAAAGGCGTAAGGATGGGTGGGGTTGCAGGTTAATTTCTAAACTGGGGGAGGAGGTTGACACAGGAAGTTGAGAAAGGTAAAACAGGTGAGATTATTTGCTGAGAATGAGGAGAGAGATGGTGGAAGGTGGGAGTAGTGGAGAAGGTTTGAAATCTTTGCTTCTGGGAAGCGGAATGCTTTTAGCAGAAAGGAATAACTACTATTTACAGAGAGTGCTGCCCTTTGCACTTGCCATACTTACTTCACTGAGCCTGACAGCCTGGTAGGTAGGGGAATGTGCCATAACATGGAAGAGGAGCTGGCTACCTGGGGCTCTTAGGTGCACTTAACCAACAGGCAAAGAGTACAGAAGTTTACGGTACTGGCTGGAATCACTGATCTCAGTTGCTAAGGAGAAATGGGTTGCTGCTATACAGTGGGGGCAGGGAGGAATCCTGGAATTCTATGTGATTTGGGGGGGGCACCTTTTTGTATGTGTTCATAATGAAAGTTAATGGAAAACTATAGCAGCTAATAAAGGCACCATCACTGAGGATTCAGTTTCTTTCAGGAATAAAAGTTACTCTTCAGGCAAAAATCCTTTACCTAGTGTTGTCTGAGAGCAAAGAACATGGAATAGACGGTAGAATAAGGAAGTTATAAATATATCAATTCCAGCTTCTGGAATTACAGATGTGAGGACTGTAGTAATGCCGTGTGTCTTCTTCCTAGCTTCTGGAGGCAGCTGGACTCCAAAGATGTCCCTGGTGAACCGCACCTCCCACTATTTATGCTCAAGCATCATCCCCTCCCACATTGCATGGGCTGGTTTGTGACTCTTGCTAACCGCTTGAATGCAGTGGAAGTGACACTGCCACTTTTAGACCTAGCCTTTAAGAGGACCTGAAGCTTCTGCTTTCTCTCTCGTGGAACACTTGCTTTTGGGAGCTTTGAGCCACCGTGAACTAGGTGTACTACCTTGCTGGAGAGACCCTGTGGAAAGACTGCAGGGAGAGGGAGAGAGGCCCTGTTGTCAGAGTGTCCCAGTCATCTGAAGGGATGACTCCAACTGCCATCTAACTGCAACCTCATGAGGGACCTCAAGTGAGACCAGCAGAGGAACTGCCTAGATGATCTCAATCAACCTACCAAAGAGATGGTTATTTTTTTTAAACCAGCAAGTTCTGGGGTGATTTATTATGCAGCAATAGATAGCTAAAATACTTGTTATATGTTTGTATAGATTACATAATTTGTTCACTCTCGCCTTTTCTCTATTTTTATATCAGGATGGTCGTTGGTGGTTAACTTTATAATTTAGTATATAGGGTACAGAATAATTTGGTGAAATTTTAACTAAACTAGAAAAGGAAACAACATTGCCCAGAAATAGATATGGTGATTACTAGGACCTTCCAAGGAGAGGATGATAAGATCCTCATTTTTTATGAAAACGATGGCATCTTTTTAGGTGGAAGCATGATATATTACTGTTGCATTGATTTTTAAATGTGGTAGAAAAGTGTTAATGGATATCGAGTAGCCAGAGGAGTGGACTGTGCTGGTAATTTACCTACTGTGTTGCCTTCACTTCCAAGCCCACCCTTCTGCAATTCTTGGGCAGAGATTCTGTAAATGATATTTCTCAGACTCTCGCCAGCTGACTTTCCATGAGATTCTGCCAACAGGAGGCACAATGGGAGAGTGTGGAAAGCGGAAGGAGGGGAGAAGGGATTTCCTTGCTGTTTTCAGCTCCTCTCCAGCAGTTGTAGATAGCTCTAGCTCCAGCCTCCAGCTCCTTTTGGCAGTCCCCTGCACCAACCTTGCTGTGGCACCACCAGCAGCCAGGTTACATCCCGACAGTAGGAGTACCAGTTGTGTCTCACCCTTCATCTGCTGGGCCTTCTCCCTGGATCATTTGTGTATTTACTGGGTCATATCCCCCTTTTGATGTTCAAGCACTGGCTATATCGTGTTCCCTCTTCAGAGGTCAAAGAAGTAGCTGTGAGAAGCTTCTTGCCCCCAGGGGTCCTGGCACTAACCCACATGGGGAATCCTCCTCCAAGCTCTTAGGTTC